ATTTTTTTATATTTTTTGATCTTTTAATTATAAAGGTGTATTTTTTAATTTTTTGTCAGTTAATCTATTGAATTTATCTAAATTTATATATTTTTAGCCTTTTAATTTTAAGTTAAAAATAAAAAATATACATATATTAAAAGTTAAGAAATAAAAAATATACAGATTCATATATATTTAACAGATTAACTAATAAAAAAATTAAAAAAATTCAATTTTTATAATTAAAAAACTAAAAAAGTGCAAAAAAAAAATCAAAAAATAAAAACATTTAAAATCTTAAGTTGACCGATTAAAATTAACATTTAACTCTAATTAAAAGCTAATGTAGTTAGAGTATGGAAAGTCGGTGGTAGCATGATGTGATGATCCCGTATCAAAAAAGGAACAATCCAATTCTTTGTTTGAAGTATTTAACGATGCAACATATAGATTGAGGTATCATTTCGGTGTCTTGAGTTTCGAACTCCGGATAGTTTTTTACAAAACTTTGATAATTTGATACATAGGCATTATATAAAATCAAATTGTTATGTCTATCTCATCCATAAACTGCTAATTTATCCTTGCTATTTTATCTAAAAATTGGTTTCTACTTTAAAATTTTTTCGACTCATATTAAAGATTGGCACATGCATCATATTTATTATAATTCAATTTTCATATTTATTGCTATGAGAATTAAAATAGTGATGGTTAAGAGAATAGACTAATAAAAAGTTTAGTATCTATTCATCTATTATCTAAACAAAGAAGATATCTAAACAAAGAAGATTAAATAACAAAATTAAACTTTACAAGTTGACCTTTCAAGTGAATATGATTTATTAATTTTATAGTGTAACATGTAAAATTAAAAGCAAAACTAATTTGCAAAGTAGAAGTGAGGAAGAAATTGAATTGATTGTGATGAGCTTACCATTCAATGATAGGCCTCAGTTGTAAGCATTTTTGTTCATAAAAATGTAATTGAGAAATCATAAGTAATTACAAAGAGTTTAAGAAAAAGATTCCTATCCATCCATTAAACATAGATCTTTCCATACTACTTTCTTAGTTTGAAATTTCTATAACTATCTATCTCATTCATGGACTTAAATCATCTAAAAATTGGTTCCTATTTTGAAATTCTTCTACTCTTAAATTACATATTGGCATATACATGTATCATATTTATTGCTTGTCAATTTCCACGTTTAGTTGATAAATGTGGTAAAGCAAATGTAAACAAGAAAACTTGCAAGCAATTGCAGGGAAGGGATGAACAGAAAAGAGTAAAGGACTCGAGTTATTTTGGCCTTCTTTATAAAGGGTCCAACATTAATGTTGATACTTTCTAGAAGAAATAATTTTCCACCACATATAGTTCTCTTTCTCAAAGTTTTGGCTCTCTCTTCTTGTCACTTTATTGTTCTTACTTTTTTTTTTTTTCTTTGAGATTCATTATAATATAAATTACATATTAAAAGTGAAATTCGCTCTATAAATTTATTAAAACATCTTTAATAAAATTATTGTTGCTACTTTTTGGACGAAATAATTTTCCACCACATATAGTTCTCTTTCTTTAAATTTTGG